CTCTCTCTCTCTCTCTCTCTCTCTCTCTCTCTCTCTCTCTCTCTCTCTCTCTCTTTCCCCTACCCCCTCATTCTTTACTTCTAGAGAACCCTGGCTAATACCATACCTCACTCCAGAAACATTCTTAGAAAATTTTAGAATATCTTTTATCTTACAAATATTACTCAAAGCCATACATTACTAGCTGTATGATATCTGGCTGACTTGAGGCACTGTTTTGATGTAATCCTGATGTAATTAGTCTGTCCCCAGTTTTCTCAGTACAGAAATTCTGTGTGATATTTTTGCACATGAAATTTGCTGCACATCTGGTCATGTCTTTAGGATGAACTCCTGGGAGAGGAAGGGAGGATTCCCAGGGAGGTCCTGAAATACATTACACAGTACTCTTTGTAAAGACTGCAACAGTCCACGGCCTTACCACGACTTCTGCACCATCTGGCCTTAGAAACAAATGCTTGGCTATATTTCCAAAGGAATAGATAGGTGCAGGGTAGATAGGTGGGAGCCCATGGGAGGGTTCTGTTTACTTTTCTATGAAGCTCTAGATATAATTTTTCAGTTGACATTGCAGCTATTGAAACTCGAGAGTGGATCAAATTATTTCCCAAAATGAGAAGCATAGGGAGGCTGGGAAATACTCATCAGCTCTAGGAAGCCAATGCAATCAAATACTAAGGACAACATTCCCCACAGAACAGCCGGTGGCTGGGTCGGCTCATCGTCTTTTGAAAGCAGCCTGCTCTGACCAGACCTCCATTTCTGGCTTCTGGTTGCCTGCCAGGTCCTGTCAGCCAGACAGAGTGCACTATGGGACAAACAATACATCAGAGGAAGGTGGGGTGGAGACCAAGGCATGGGTCCAAGCTTAGAGAAAGAGGGCTGGGTCCAATAAGATCCTCGGGGATAATCATGAGGCGGTTTCTAGACATTTCAGGGGCAGTCAGGAGGAAATCAGGTCCATGTGGTTAAACCTAGGCAGCAGCCTACACCACAAGTTTGACCTGGATGAGTAACTGCTCCATGTGATGTGAGCTCCGTGTCCTGTGATGATCCGGCATTAAAATTAGGAATTTGAAGGATAATAATACAGAAAAAACATTTATTGTATATTCATTCAAGTTAGAGTTGTACACAAATGGGAAGCCCTAGGGATTAGAGAAATTCTCAGTAACTTAAGGAGAGCCACCGAGGCCACTAAAAACCAGTGATACTGCTTCTCTAATCTCCATAGAAGAAGATTCTCAGTTATAGTCAGAGTGGACCACAGACTGCTTATCCCCTAAGGATAAACACATAGTTCTCCTCAGCATGCCTGCGGGATTAGCAAATCCCATTGGCGTTGCAAATTCTATAACTACTGGTTCTAAGTCTGGTAAATCAAAGGTTGTCATTTTCTTCCCATATCTTCCCCTCTACAAAGGGTTTAGAGTCATCACAGAATTCTTGCAGCCGTCCAGGAAAACACAGTAGCAGCTTCAGGAGGTCAGAGCATGCAGAATGGGTGGGCCTTGGGCCGACACATCCGAACCTATCAGAGGAGAGTGAAGGGGTGAATAAAGGAGGATAAAGGAGAGAGGTGGCTTCAGTAGGGAATCAGAACTGCTAACAGCAGCCACTGATACAGAGGGGAAGAGAGCAGAAGCCAGCAGAAGCACAGGCACTAGAATGAACGCTGGTGGCATCGTGTCCTTCTGAAGATGAGCCAACCAACCAATAAAAAATGGACTGGCCACTCAACACAGGTACACAGATGCTCTCTGGAGCCCCATGCCTTGATCCCTCCAGAGAGCTATGAAAGTTTCCAAAGCATTACTCTTGTTTTAAAAGATTTGTTTTCATTCCTCCCCTCCCCGTGTGTGTGTGTGTGTGTGTGTGTGTGTGTGTGTGTGCACGCGCGCGTGCGTGTGCAAGCAGCCCAACATGGTTGCTCACAAACCAGGGTCCTCTGTAAGAGCCGCTGGAAATTCCTAACCACCAAGCCATTTCTTCAGCTCAATTACTCTCATTTTTTCCTATTCTGAACAGGTTTCTTCCCCCCAAACTTCTATTATTTGCCTCTTTTATTTTTTAAGGAATGCAGAAGTGTAAGTCTTCCTTGAAGACTGAGAACAGTCATTTATAGCAAAAATCATATTAAATTCAACCCACATTTATTGAGCTGCTCAACTTTGTACCCAGGAACTCATGTTGACCTTTGGCCATTTTTAAACTTACTGGGTCAAGAAAGAATTAGGTTAAGTGTTAGGTACCAAAGAATGACTCTATACAATATTTGTGATTCCATTACAGTACTTGTTTTAGCTAGAATATGGAGGCCAAGGATATGGGTATCAACTGGTGTTCCCAGCAAATAAAGTGCTACTTAGTTACCAGGGAAGAGAACAAAAGGTTGAGCCACCACTATGTGTCACACTTGACATTTAGTGTCTCTTCTCGTTCTCTGTATAAACATAAAGCAGGAATTGTTGGCTCCAAGCCATAGAGAGAGGGGCGCACAGGGTCACGAAGCTAATCTTCCTGATCCACTAAACATACCGTGCTAATGCCACATGCTAAACTCACTGAATGCTCATCAAATCAATTCCGTGAGGATTACCATTATATCTCATTTTACATATAAGCACCCAGGCAGAATCATTAAGTAACAGATTTAAGATGGAAACAGAAACTCACCCCCCCGGGGCTGGAGAGATGGCTCAGTGGTTAAGAGCACTGACTGCACTTCCAGAGGTCCTGAGTTCAAATCCCAGCAACCACATGGTGGCTCACAACCATCTGTAATGAGATCTGATGCCCTCTTCTGGTGTGTCTGAAGACAGCTACAATGTATTCATATATAATAAATAAATAAATATTAAAAAAAAAGGTGTGAAAAAAAAAAAAAAAAAAAAGAAACTCACCCCCATGATCGTCTCCCCCCTGCCCCGTAACTTTAATTTTTTTCAAAACCTATTTTCAGTGATGGTTCTTAAATGCTTTAACCTCCCTTGTAACCCACCACCCACCAGAGGTAGTGGAAAAGAAAGGATACAGGGGAAGTGGGCCTGTTTAGGAAGGTTCTTTGAAACAACTCCTGTCTGTGTTGTCTGGAAATCAGCAGTTCAGTTCATAAGTTAGCAGGCAGTGGCAGCTCGATCCACTCACAAACACTTCACGGAAACCCCAGCAGTCCAGTTTAGTAGAGTCGGGATAGCAAACACGAATCAGCAGTGGTGGTGGCACTACTTAGCAGAGACAGCCAGGCCTCAGCCTTGGCATATGTCAGCAGGAAGGATCAGGGCCACAGGAATGCCAGGAGTTCTCAGCTGTGCCTCTCTTAGGAAGCGAAGATCAGCGAAGACATGAGACCCACAAGCGTTACACAGCTAGCTCTATAAGCAAGCCTCTGTTACTGTCCGTGGAGCCTTTTTATACCCTCTTCAAATATCACATGTCCTCCATGAGTCTTGTCTCAGCACGGGTCTTGTCTTAGCACATTCATCTGTCTCAGCTGACATCACTCTGCTCATCAGCCCGAATCCTCAGAAGCAGCAAGAAACTACAGCACACCACCAGAAGTTTTTTGGTGCTTTTCTCTCTATGGAGTTCCATCAAATGCAGCTCAACTCTATAGTATAAGGTGGACTAATACATGCATGTTGTTAGCATAGAATCCAGAATCCTTCATCATGTGTCTTTTCATGTGCTTGCTTTAGCAGAACATTCTCTTTCCTGTGTCTGCTTCAGCTAAATGTTCCTTCACATGTTTGCCCCAGCAAAACACCATCCAATCGACTTTCCAAAGAACGCTTAAGTTTCCACTTCACATCCCCAATCCCTGCCGCCTTACAATGGACAAAGAAACACCTTGTTGTTGGTGTTGTTCTTACATCAGTTAAGGGCAGAGCGGACAGCAGTCTTTTGTTAATCCTAGCTTGATGCCTGGCTTGGTGGCCAAAGCTGTTTTATGCCTAAGACGCATAAACACCAAATCAAATCCAGGCAGTGCAGCATTGGAGGAGGAAGATAGAGACTTGTGTTTTGCTATGCTACGAAGTGCAGGCAAGGAAAGATGTCCACAAGTCTGACCTCTGCCTCATGACACAGGCAGGCCATAGACACGCAGAACCCTGCTTACCACCATGCACGCAAAGACCTATGGACCACCATGCTACCCACAGATCTACCTTCCAGTAGACAGCACAGCACAGTGGGTGCATAGCACAGGTACCCACTTACCACCACCCCACACATACCAGACTGTCACCCAGGGGTTCGCAGCCCTGTGGCCAGCCTGCAGCAGGAGCCACCGCAGTGTGTGAGTATGTGGTAAATAGATGGGAGAGAAAGAAAAACAGAGCAGCTTGAGCATTCTGAAGGGAGATGGAACTAGAAACTCGAGGGTGGCCTTGAGTGGAGAGGAGTAGCCTGTTGTGAGTGGCCACTGTGAGATCCCAGCCACTCCCACCCAGACCACAGGGTCATGAGGGAGCTGCAGCACTTAGGAGAGCAGGCCCTGCACCTCGGCTGGGCAGTCTAGTAGAACAAGGATGAGTCAGCCCCAAGGGCATGAGGGAGAGCTGGCCTCGCCTCTCCTCTGCCATGAGGTGGCTTGGGTCATGAGGCAGGGTTGCCATCCACCACCTTGCCCCTTGCTACTGGAGGCAGTCGAGAGAGCTAACCTCTGGGTCATGAGAAAGAGTGAGCAGGCCTTGCCCCTGGCCCACTGCAGCGCTCAGGAGAGTGGGCTCTGCACCTCACCTGGGCAACACAGTAGAGCTGGGCACAGGTGAGCTGTGTGTTCGAAATCCAAGTGTAGCACAGAGCCTTCCCCAGGGTGGGCTTTTAAGCATAAAAACATGTCTTGTATTAACATACTTCACTTAACAAGAATAGTTAGCCAGAAGCAGAACTGCAGAAGATAAAAAACAAGGTTAGTGCTTTCCCAGAACTATAGGTTTTGATGGATTAGGTCTCTATTTTAGTTGTAGTAGGTGGTGGTGTCTAGATGCTGAGTTTTATGGCCTGAATGGTCCCCCCATCATGGAGTCAGTTATGCTAAGGTCTGGGGGCCCATTACAAGGGTCACAAAAACTTGGCAACAATAAAGATTTCTGAACACACAGTGACAAAAAAATTTGCAATCAAATGTGTAATGACTTCAAGGACCATGTGGCATCGGGAGACCACACGTCATTGCCTGGAAGACTAGGTTCCTAGCACACAACACAGGCACTTTGCACAAAGCACATGACACCAATGAATGGTCCCAGAAGTACCCCAGCTTAGATTCAAGACTATTTGGACATTACGAATCACACTGTTTTTTACTGGACATACTGTCTTTTGCTCTTACCTGCCACGGTGCCTCAGCACCTGTCTGTGGGGTATCTTGTGGATAACACTAGGTTTGACTATTTGATTTTAAACTTACCGTTTGAATGGTTGACTTGTATTTTTAGAAAACCATCATTAGAAGAATTTTGGCTCGGGATTAGGACACTTCCCCCAAACAACAATTTCTGAAATGGCCCTAAATAGCCTTCAGCCATTTTGTATGAGGTGTCTGTGTGAGATGGTATTCTTGGCATTGACTAATATAAAATCAGAATATTGATCAGCTCTATAAAATGTTGGCTATATTGGAGATGCTTTACATACCCTATAGTATCTGACAGCCAAGAGTTAATTTGGGGGGAGGGGAGTATGGTAAGTAGAGACATGGTCTCACTAGGTAGATTTGGCTGACCTTTTCCTCAGAGCTTTACCAGCTTCTGACTAGGTAGTGCTGGGATTAAAGGTATGAACCACCATGTCCACAAAGCTTAATTCTTTATGTAAAATAAACACATTTATCGCAGTATGCAAATTTGCTTTTTAATAAGTAGCAAAATTGTGTGTATATCAAATGATTCTTTTAAAATAAGTTTTCTTATGAATATGATTATCCATAAGTATTTGATTTGTATACCTATTTTGTACAGACTACCTATAGGTATGGGGTCATGTAAAAGTTTCTCAGGCAAAACGGAATCATGAGTAGGAAGTTTAAGAAAACTATGCATAAGGTAGACTCTGTGTGGTATTAAGAGAAAAGACAGTATTTGGCTTAGAGGAGGCATTTGGCTCTTTTGAGGTAGCTTGAGGGCAACTAAGGGATCGTTGGGCTTACTGCTGTCTTACCTGATAATATATTGTCATTTAGAGTGTCTTTTGTTTTTTTTTTAAGATTTAGACTGTTTGTGGTTAGATTACTGTTGGCAGGATTATGGCTGGTGTCTAAATTACTAATCTTTTCCTTATATAAGGAGTGTGGAGAATGATAAAGGTCCCCGGAGGCTTAGGAAGACAGAACCTGAGAAACATTGGCTCCCACTCCCTTTCCATCCTGTCCTTCACTCCAGAGACCCTCTGGTCTATGCAGATTCTGTGAAGTGTCTTCGGGAGGCTTTACTCTCCTGCGGTTCACCTGCCCTCTGATATGAGAAGCAAGAACCCCATCCCTGCTGTGAACTTGACTGCCAGGTCAGACAAGTTTCTTTCTTGTAAACATCCCTGAACATGGAGGACAGCAGCCAGCTGCTTGGAGTCTACAGAGCCAGAATACCAAACAGTACGTTGCAGTGCACAGTAGTGTTTGCCTCCTGCTCCCCAAACCATCTGGACTATGACTTCTCTCATGCCTCTGGGACAGGCCAATGTGACAGGGCTGTCGGGAGCCTAAGGACAACTGTATCTCATACCTTTTGCTTGTTGGGGTAAGTTTAGGGGAGTGTGCTGAAAAATCCATGCTCGTGGTTGGTGAGTGAGGTGTATAGAGCTGAGCTCTGCAGAGCCCCCCTAAAGTGAGTTCCCCTCAAGGCCAATAGTTAATAGTTATGAGATTTTTTTTTCCTGGTCTTTTCCAGCCATAAAGGTGTAGTGCTACTCTAATTAATGTGGTGTGTTTGTACACACACACACACACACACACACACACACACACACACACACACACCAGTGTCCTCTGTCTCTCATTCCTTTGAAACAGAGTCTCTCACTGTAATTATAAGTTGTGGGAGGCACAGAGGTTCTTGAGCTCACACATAAACCCTAAGGGGACCAGGAATGCTAAACATACAGGGTTGTTCCTTCAGAGGAAGGGCTGAATAACCTGTCATCTGCCCAGAAGCCTGGGAGCAGACGCAATTAATAACCTGGTGACCTTTGTGCTATCTATGTGGCTGTGACCACACTGGATCCTCCCCCAGACTTACTGTGAGCTTGTCAATGATTAGACACCATCTTTATGGGAAGTATCACAGGTATTCAGTCTATAGATATCATCTTTATGGAAGATGTCATATGCACTTTACAAAGAATTTTGATATAGTCATATCTTAAGCTTTAATGACACTTGGGGTTGAGTTAATTATCACCAGGAAAGTTCTCAGCCAAATTGTGCTGTGTTTAAATATTCCTAAAATGAACTACTTGGGGCCAGATTCCTGAAGTTTGTACCAACATAGACCACTTAGTCATTTTGCCTGAGTCTTTTTTTTTTTTTTTGCCAGTGGCTGTCTACTCTCATCTCTCATGTGCACACACACACACACACACACACACCCATATGTGCAGATGTGTGAGGAGGCCAAAAGAGGACATTTAAGGTCCAGTATCTGGAGTTACAAGTGGTGGTAAGGCAAGTCTTATGGTGATAAGAAACAATCCCCAACCCTCTGCAAAGATAACAAGTGCTCCTAACCACCAGGCTCTCTCTACGTCCCTAAATTTTCCCTTCTTATAAAGACATCTGTGAAATTCAATTAAATTCTTTTCAGCTCGCCCACCCTTTACACTCTGGGGTCCTGGCCTCAAGGCTTCTACATAGGAACCTGGGGAGAAGGATGCACACAGTCCTAATGGACCACGAGGGGACTTGTCTAAAGCATCCTTGCCCAGATCATAGGGGATAAGTGAGCCACCTATGCCGAATGGTCTGTTCTGTAACTTCAGAGGATGTCCCAGGCCTAGGCATCCCAAATGCTCCTGAGGTATCTTGCAGGGCAGGGCATCAACAGCCATTCACCCTAAGATGACCAGGTACCCGAGGCTGATTATCACTTTGAGATCAGGGAGGAAGCAAAGCCACTTCCTCTGCCCCACAGCTACAAAACGTACTTATGGGAGAATAGGACACTCTGCTAATTTGTTAGTTATTAATAATTGATAGCATCTATTCCTCAAGGATTATTTGTACAGTGCTGGGGAGCTACAGAAATAGGGATAATCAAATTTTAGTATAGATAAAACTAGATTAAGAGTTATTCTGCCTATTTGAAATATTCCAGTATAAAAAATTCATCTTAAGCTATAAACTAATAAACAAAGATGTCCTCTACAGGCCCCCAAGTGTAAAGGTCTAATGTGGTAATAAAAATATAAATAGTAAAAAACCAATTATAAGACAATGGTCCTGTGGTTCACAATGAATAAATGATTCGTGTAACCATTTGATGAGGATAGGCATACGAATGGGGAGGAAGAGAGGCTGGGACCCACCACCTGCTTCACCATGTGAGAGGACATGGTGATTTGATACAGGTAGCTCTTCCCTTGGTCCTTTCTTCAGGCAGCCACTGACAAACTGCCTCATCCAAACCAGGGATATATATCTCCAGATGCAACTTCTATACTTCTCTTCCAAAGTGATCCCACGAGGCAGGGTGGAGGTGGGCGGGACTGGTGAAGTGAGTCATTGGGTCTTTAACACTGCTTGGACTTTCTCTTTTGAACCTTGGGAGAAAAGCCACATGGGTGCTCTCTTGGGTGACACCTCCAGCCCCGTTCTTTTTATCCTGCCCCTGACTGTTGTCCCTTGGGGCATCCTGAGCTTCTGCTACACTCTATAAGCCCTCTCATAGCCTTAGAGGTGCCCGTGCTGGGCTGGGGATGTGGGTCAGAGGACCATGTGCTTAGTATGCATGAAGGTTCAGTCCTCAGCA